GGCAGGCGTGCCCCGACCGCTCAGCTGGGCGGCGCGGCGGCCCGCTGGGGTTGACAAGGAGCGTGCGCTCCTGGCAGTCGGAGACCAGTGGCGCGGTCGATCTCGGGCCCCCGACGCGTCTTGGGCCCCCCCTGCGCGCCCTGGGAGGTCAGCCCCTCGGGAAGGGCGGCCTCCATCAGCCGAAAACGCCATCCAATGCGGCTCGTTTGCGACGCGCAGCCGCTGGGCGCGCGCTCGCGCTCGAGACATGCGGCGATGCAGCCGGGCCCTGCTGAGACAGGTGGCCGACTCCAGGAACGCTGGACAACGAACTGTGGACAATTTAAACTTGGCTCTTGAAGGCGCACATTTGACTGCCACGGCTTCCGCCAACCTTCTGCCATCTTCCGCTGGCGGCGCCGGCCCCGCGTCGCTTCCGCCGCTCTTTCGCAGCGGGGGGCGCGTGAACTGGTTCGACCCTCGAAGGCGCGGCCTTCCCTTTTCCGCGTTGTCTTCCCCTGCTTCCTGTCGTTGTTGCGACTCTAGATTGAAGCGCGTCCTTAGGGGGCAAACTCTGTTTCTCTGCTCGGGCCCAAAACTCTGATGAAGGCCTGATTCATGCCTGCGCTGGAACTATGATTCAAGTCTGGCCCTCGGAACCAACTCCGATTTAAGTCTGACTGGAACTTCGAATTAATTCGGGCCCTAAGGCCCAAGTCTGATTTAGGTCTGACTGGGAACTCTAAAGTCAATATGGTTATGGTTTGGTCTGGGCCCGCCGAAACCAATGTCGCGGCGTCGGCCCAGAACGCTGCCGGGTCGGCCCCGCGCGCATGCGTCTGCAAGAACAACAAAAAGAACGCGTAAGCCAAGCGGCAGGTCATGGCTGGGGGCCCAGCCGCCAGCTGCCAAATACTGCGAGCTGGGCCCGCCTGCGCACGCCGCCCTGCGGCAACGCTGAGGCTAAGGCCTGCGCGGGGGGCGCGGGGCCGCGCCCCCCGCCTGCTCGGCCCTGCCCAAAATTGTTCAACTGCAGCTGGGGCGAACAAAAACTCACCCGAGGCTCGCTCCTCAGGGCTGCTGGCCGCCGCGCCGCGACGGGATGCGCATCGCGGTGGCCGCCCCGATCCCCGCCGCCCGCCCGGGACAGGTCGGGGGCAGTGCGCGCAGAAGAGAAGCGCCGCGCTTTTCGGAAGGCTCGGGGGCGCGGGAGACGCCCTGGGAGGCGCCCAGAACGAAGGCGGGGGCAAGGGGCATGGGTGGGAACGATCGCGAGAACGAAGGCGGAGGCGAGGGCAGGAACTGGGGTGGGAGCGGGGGCGAGGGCGATGGGCGAGAACGAGGGCGAGAACGCAGGCCAGAATGAGGGCGGGAACGAAAGCGGGAATGGGGGCGAGAGGCGAGAACGGGGGCGGGAACGAAGGCGGGGACGAAAGCGGGAACGAGGGCGAGAAGGAGGGAGATAAAGAGGGCGGGAACGAGGGCGGGAACGAGGGCGAGAACGAGGGCGAGAACGAGGGCGG